TGCATGCTTCACAGAGAAGAACCAGTCTGTCATTGGTAATTCATTTAGTGCACCACTAGATAGAGATAAACTCTTACACACTGTCTCTTTTAAAAAGATCAAAGATACTTTCTAGCTTTTCTAAAGAGTTTTCAAAGACATGTTTCCATCCAGGCCACAGAAAACCGCACTTACATTCTGTCATTCACTTCCAACATGAAATATAACGTGTGGTTTGATGGCTTAATATCAACAGAGCAGCAGTAACTCTTGGCTGATTTCTTGAGGGAAGTTATAGTTGGATTTATTTCCAAAGCAGTTTCAGTTAAATGCTGCATCATTGGAACCTGATAACGACACATTTTTATTTCAGAAAACTATTTTTCTAATTTTGTGCAACTTTTTTGGTGTAAAGACACTGTAGTAGCAATTAGCAGCAAAAAGGGAAATAAAGTGCTGTAAGAATTAACATAGTTCTCATAACTAAACTAGATAAAATAAAACTCTATACTTCTTTAACTTAATATAATGTAGAATAACTAAATGCATTTTTTTCTGATACTGATGATGGGCCAACTGTTCATCTTCTCAAATATGTGAGCTGCAGATAAATTTGCAAGAGTAAAACAGATTTTACTTTGACCATGCATGATTGCAACATCACAAACAACAAAGCACAGCTCAACTCCAACACCCTAACAAGCAACACATTTTTTTTTTGTGATTTGTGAGGCTCAAATACTAATTAGTGTCAGTTTATGCAAAGTGCATTTACAAAACAAAATTAACAAAGTACTGTATGCTTCACACAAAAAATACATATTTCCATGTTTAAACATCTCTGCAACTTGCTTTCACCCTTTGTCTGCATTAATGAGCCCCTTATTGGTGAGTGTGGCAAAGGAAAAAAGTGCACAAATCAGTAGTGTTCATAGCAGTTTCTCTGTCAGCTACATTATTATGCTTCACACATAAAAATAAAAGAAGCTTGGAAATCCCACCATTTATAAGGCAAATAAAAAAACCAAAGTATGTTAGTAATGTCTCTTGGAATAACACTTCTTTAGAAAGCAAAAACAGAACACGTTCTAAGTTTAGAAAAGCTTATGGTGAAATCTGTGAACACAGAGCGATTTAATAAACAGCAACAACAGTCAACAGTCAAAAAGGCCTTCCAGTAAACAGAAAAGGGTGTTTTAAACAACCTAGTTCAGCTCCTTGAACTTCGTCATGTTTTGTCACATTATAACCAAAAACCTCAATTATTTCATTCGGATTTTATGCGATAGTGTGGCATGAATATTTGAAATCAACCTCCTTTACTCTGAAACCTATGGAAAAATTTCAGTTCAACCAAATGTAAAGGTCTTCGAGAGCCTAACAGAGAAGCAGCAAAGATGGCCATAGTAACTCTGGAGGAGCTGCAGAGAGCCATGACTCAGTATTGCAAAAACAAGAAAAAACAGAGCTTCAAAAGTCTTTTTTACAATTAATGTAGATAGCAAACGCAAACATGTGGAAGTGTTTCTCGTTATAGAGACTAAATTTTGCACATTCATGTTTGTGGTTTTACACAAGTCATTATTATCCATTTTAAAGCAGTAGATTAGTTCCATCCATCCATCCATCCATCCATCTTCCTCCGCTTATCCGGGGTCGGAAAAAAAAAAATCATAAATCTAAATCTAAATATCTTTGTAAGCAGAAAAATTTATTTTAGCTCTTAAAATGTTGGATGTTTCCTGTTAAATTCCTCTGCTAATTTGCAATAATGAAGCTAATTGTCCACTGCAGTTTAGAAAGACTTTATCCCAGCCAAAATATGACCAGTTAAATTACAATCCAACAGTTCTAATTAAAGAAGGTCACTCTTAGGCTTTATAAACGTAACTTACCATCATACCAAGCAAATAACACATTTGCTGAGATAAGATTACAGCATATATATATATATATATATATATATACATACACACAATTATAGAAGCATTTTATCTGGGCATAGAAACTTGCAAATTATCACACTTAAACGACAGGAGTCATGTCTTGTTGGACATCAAACTTTGCGTTTTAAATGGTGCTCATTGTAAAGCTCCCGGGAAACTCACATCAATCTTAAAGCAAATGGAAAATTGTCTAAGCCCCTTATAACCCTGATTCCAGGTAGCCCCATTTGGATTAAAATTAGATTAGATTCAAAGCAGCCATTGCTTTATATGAAAAGTTTCTCCTGCATGATTGTTTTCTTAATACATCTGCAAAATTCAACTTTGAATCACACAGCCATTGATCCTTTGAACATGTTCAGAAATTTCACAATATAAGCATCAAAACTATGAAACACCATGTATCATAATGCACCACAGCTGCAGAATGTATGCCATTAGTAAGAAATAATGCACTGGTTAATAGATAATAAAGTTACTTAATCTGATGTTACACTAAGCAGACATCTACGGTATCAATACCACCGTTTAAGATTCAATCACTTTGGCCTGCAGCATTAAGTGGCTCCATCTGTTTGCAGTTTGACCTACTTTGCAATTTAGAGCTTTTTATGCTGAGATGGTCAGCTGCCTGTAAATATTCATCCAGAGGATGATATCATTGCACAATAACACACCCTGTCCTTAAGCAGCCTTAACCACTGTAAAATCCACACCTTTGATCCTGATGTACACACATTATTCAGAGCAAGAGCACATCAAAGGTGCACAGGCTTCATAAGCATGATCAGTTCAGTGTTTCACCCCATGCTCTTTAATTCCTCACATTCAAACCCCACATCACATGTCTTATGACTTGTCAAAATATATAGGAACATAGGAACCTCCTGGTTAGCATCTTTAAAGTAATTTGTTTTGGTTGCTCTATCTGAGCTTAAATCATTTTGATGAACAAAATGTTTTTGGAACAAAAAATCTGTGTTTCTACAGTGCAAAATAATGGACCATAAGAAAAATTGGAAAAGCTGCTCAAGAATGTCTTTCAATCACTTCTGCTGTTTCTAAAAACCTGACTTTGAAAGCTAGAGGGGAAATTTAATATCTTTAAAGGTTTTATGAAGCTTATTATTATTTTTTTCCACTTTGAAAAAAAGGTTCGACTGCATAGGATGCCTTGAAGAACTCTAATAGATGAAATGTTTTTAGCACGATTAACAGGAGGAAACCACAAACAGACTTGTTTCATACTGTCGGACTATTGGTCCCTGAGTTTCCCTCTGCTTCAGAGAACTTTCAGGAAGCATACACTCGACGGCTTGCTTTGTTTAGACAACGACAAACATAGATTAATAGTAGGAAATGATTTCAAGATCTGACCTGCATGTGATGTGCCCGTCGACGTTGAGTATGAAAAAAATTTAAGCAGGAAAATTGCCAAGATTATGAACAGATCTTGTGATGTATCTATTATTTATCTCATGGTAAATAATGGATCTGGGTCTGCTTCTAGGCTTTGATTGTTTTCACTATAAATTTGATCCTGTATGGATTTAATGCATTTTATTATGTGAGCAAACTCCTCCATGTGTATTAAAAAAAAAAGAACACCATTTAACAAAATCCATATATAAGTATAAGGACACGGTTTGAATAAATGAGCTTTGGACCTAAATTCGTAACAATCACACAGCTGTCTAATCTTTATCGCATATGGTCACTTTATTGCAGCAAAACACATCTATTATATTTCTGATTCATGTGGACCAACAGAGGTACTGCATAATTCTGGGGTGAAAGGCTAATTATAAACAATGAAAAAATCTTTGCCATGTATTTGTATTCATCCCCTTTGAGTTCACAACTTGCTATTGCCGACACAAATTTGATCTCATGTGCCTTCGTCCACTGGTATGTGGGTGAGGGAATGGAGGGGGAGAGTTTTCCAAAGCCCAGGGAGGACATGGGAAATGGCATATTACATATTATGAGGAGGTTGGGGCTGATAGCTTGGCAGAAGAAAATGATGGAGAAGTATATTAAATAAGGCATTCCCTGTCATTTCTTAATGTTCACAATAAAGTTTTCTGGCTGCACAACCACAAACCTACCAAGTCGTTTCATTACTATTAGCATAACTATTAGTCTCATATTCAAGTATGGCCTCATGGAAGAGTGGCAAGATGAAAGTAATAAGTCATGTTTGCAGCAAACATGTGGAAGAAGGCGTTGGTCTGGTCCAATGAGACGAAACTCTTTAACTCACATGTTCAAAAGCAGGTGTTAAGAAACACCAATACTACACTTGTCCTTAAATACACCCTACGCATTGCGCTGTATACCGTCAAGATAATATTTGTCAAAGGAGTCAAGGGAACCTGGTCAAACCTGATTGAACAGATGGGGCTGAGTACAGGGCAATACTTTAAGAAAACATGTTAGAGGAAGCAAATGAGACATCCAGAGCTACCAAAAGATCAAAGCATATTCATGTGATACAATGGCCCAGTCAAAGTCCAGACCTGAGAAACTGGAAAACTGCTCCTTAAAGAGAGTCTCGATCAGATTTTGCCAATGGACTGAACAAGGATGGCAGTAAGGAGGATTCAGTAAGAGTTCAATAAGTATGATTCTAAGTAGATACCACTTTTGTGGGGATACCATAAAATGCAGACATAATTTTATTTCTTTTCCACAATTACGCATCACTCCGTGCTGCACTATCACATAAAATCCCCCAAAAAACACTTTATGGTTAAAAAATAAAAATAAAAAAATAGGAACAAGGTTCAAGAAGTATGAATGGTTTCCAACACAGGTTATATAATTACTATTCAGAGCAGTGCAGCAAGAGGGTGGGCATCTTTAATGGAAGCCAAACATAAAAGTGAAGATCTTCATCTGCTGACTTTTTTGGAAGCTTAGATATGAATTAGCCATTCTAATAACTGCCTTAAACAGTCTCCACTTCTCTACCTCTCAGCTCATTCTAGCACACCAGAAGACAAAAAATAAAATAAAAACACACTCACTACATAACACACATTATAGCCTTTCTGATATCCATATAAACTGAATCCACAGCTCTGGTAGCCACAAAAGGAAACAAATACAAAACAAAAACAGACTTTATACATTTTAAATGTCAAAAGAGGCATTTGTAAGGTGCAGGATTGATTATAAATGCTATATTACATTACTAACTTATCCAGGAGAGGGAGCTAACAGGATTTGGTTATTGATGATGTCACAAACAGTTACATGTCAAAATCAGTGTTTGGTTATTGCAGAGTCCGAATGGAAGTGATGGCTACATCCTGGCAGAGAACAAAATAACATTTCAATCTTATCCTTTATAGGTAGTTATTTGCTAAAGGATGCTACAATCTATATTTTGTGCAAAACTATAAATTCACAAGTGTGATGTAAAATGTATGGGATAGGTCAGAAAGGACTTTGAGGTTATATACTGTATTCAGTAGAGTAAAAAATATCTATTTCATTATTGTTCTAGCTGTATGAGTCTGTGTGGCAAGTCCAGCCTTTAGCGTATTTTCAGTTCTCTCCTCTGTGTTAATGTCAATCTACCGCTGCGAGTCTCTCTTACAAAAAAAAGAGCAACCAGACAAAGTGCTTCAAATGCTACAGAGATGTGTTAGTTGTTGGAGTTCATCCTACCAGCAGAGAACAAGGGAGGCGGTGGGGGTAAATGTGAGGCAGTTGGCAACCCCCCCATGGGGTGCAGCAGAGGAAGAGACAGTTGGTTGCTGTGGAGGAGCTGGGGGCTGGAGGCAGCGGAGGGCGTGGCGTCAGAGACGGGAGTTCCCAGCTGCTTCGGAGCAGAGGAGTCTGTAGTTGGAGAAACTAGTGGCCGGTCGAAACCGAGGGGGTCTCCACAGCTGGGGACCACTATGGGGTTGCTGACATGGAAACACTTCTCCCTGTGAGCCTTGAGCATGTTGGAGAAGCGGAAACGCTGGCCGCACACCTCGCAGGGGTACGGCTTCTCCCCGGTGTGAGTGCGGCGGTGGCGCTTCATGTTGGGCCGGCTGGTGAAGCTCTTCCCGCAGATCTCACAGATGTATGGCTTCTCACCTGTAGGATACAGGACAGCACAACTGTAAGCAGCTGATAGTGCTGTTTTCAATGCTGAGATGACTCTTTTACCGATCCCTACTGACCACTGAGTCTAATGGGAGAATTATCCCCCCTCTGTTAACAGCTTAGTGTGTTTCTATAGTGCCTTGCAATGACTAAGATAATTGTTTTCATTTTGTCACATTTCAACTACAACCTTTAACATATTTAATTAAGATTTTTTTTTTGATAGACCATGATGGACCAACACAAAGCAGAGAAGCAACCAGACTGAGATCCACAGCTCCGATTGGGAATCAAAAGACAAATATGAGCTAAAGGAAGAGACGTAAGAGGAAAGAAAAGCAGTTGCAATTGTTCACAAGCCCTGATAGGAATACACCAATTATATGAAAGGAAAGCGCTCTTGTGAGAAAAGACTACATTCATAGATTTTTGACAACCTACGAATGGTGTTTGCAGAAGAAAACCAGAGGCTTGCTTATGTGCAACTGAAGTTTTTGCAATGTGTGCCTAGAAGGCCACAAAAACATGATGGACAAGCAACAGCTTGTACAGTGAGAGTTTGCAAACCTCTACGGAGATCTTATTATTTTGCCCATAAATATCACAACGATCAACAGATTCTGAACAACTCTTGGAAAGAAATCGGTCAGAATATCGGCTACAAAAAAGGTAAAAGTGGTACGCTGTGTCGGCAATGTGTCTCTTTTCCACGCGGAACATTGATTGAGTCAAACATAAACCAGATACCACGAACTGATGAACAGACTGTACACAGTGTGAGCCACACAGATGTCAGCCTTCATAGTGAAGGGTACCTATACTCGAATTTCTCATTACGAGCGCGCTTGATTTCCCACACTGCGAAGGCATCGTCCGACAAGTTTATCTTTGCTAAAAAAATAAAAGAAGTCTAACTGGATGCCTTGTACGGGATCATCTTCACCAGAGCAACCATGGCACACCTATCTGTGAGGCAGAGAGAGCAGCTGTGATTCTGAGGTTCCTTACATCTGACTGCTCTGAGCAATGTATCACTGCCTGCTATCGCCTCATGAACTCAGTATCTCATTTAAAACAGTTTGGAATGAATGATCCTTCCTGGGAGAAATACTTTCCAACCAAGCAGTGTAATGGTACCTACATACCATTTAGGCAGAATCTTACCATCTGTGCAGAATCTCACTGTCTGTGCAGACTCTGCACCCACCAGTCTAGGGGATTGGTGGCCTAATAGGGGAGGTTCTGAGTTCAAACCCCACTACCATGGACTGCCACTGTTGGTCCCTTTTAAATGTTTTTTTTTTTTTTATCTATCTAAAAGAGTACAATAAGTATATTATATAATAACATCATAAAATCTATTTTTCTTATAACATTTCAAAATCATTACCTAAATGAATAAAACGGTTTACACCACCATACTGAATAAGACCCACGCTATGTCATAAAAGTCATAAAATGTTAAATTAAAGAACACATGAAAAATTGCATGTGATTATAAAATAACTCCAAAAAAAAAAGCTTTAATAAAAGGTGGGAAAAGGTGAATCACCAGTGTGTGTCTTCATATGCTCATCAAAGTACTGCTTCATGTTGAAGTCCTTTCCGCACCACTGACACATGAACTGTTTGTGTCCGATGTGGATGCTCATGTGTGAACGCAGCTGGTATTTGTACTGGAAGCGCTCGCTGCAGCTCTGAAACGGCACACAGTGGACAACCTTGATAAGTGGCTATAAAACCTAGTGGTGGATGTGGCTGGAGCTCAATAAAATCATAGTCAAAATCCAGATGTATTACTGAGTATTACTTTAAAATCGGAAATTTAGTTCAACAAAAGTGACACAAACCGTATTAATATCATCAGAAAGACTAAAGGGATCAATATTCACTGTTGTTCAATGGGATCTTTCTTATATCAGAGTGTGGGTCTATAAAAATCTGGATTTCATCACTACATCAAAGGCATCTCCAAGAGGTCTTAAGAAAATCATATATCACAAAAAAAAAGGATCTCAAACCTCACACTTGAAGGGTTTCTCTCCCGAGTGCTGCAGAGAGTGAACCTTTAGTGACATGCTGCGCTTGAACGACTTCCCACACGTCTCGCAGGTAAATGGCATGTCCTTCGTATGGGCTACAAATGCAGACACATAAAACATTACAGGCCAGTCTAAATCCAACTATTTCCCTTTTTTCCCCCCACTAAATTCTCTTGATAACTCCTATCACAGATTTGACATGGTTAGCCAAATTTTGTAATCTACATTATATTGATACACTGCAAAAATGATCCAAAAATGACCTTAAAATAAGTGCATTTACCCTTAATTTAAGAAGGTGAATAATGATCTGCTAATGGAATTAGTATTTGTACGGTTAAAAATAGGTTAATTAAATATTATGCACTCAAAATGCAAGAATGCAGTTACACGATTTTTTTGTTATTTTTAAGGTAAATACTTATTATATTGGCAAAGTGTCTCATTTGCCTGCTTAATTTAAAAAGAACGCATTTACTTTGAGAAAAATTTACTTAGATTTAAATTTTTGGCAGTTTAGTTTATATCTTACAATCATTTTACCCTTTTTTTTCTGTAACATGCTTTATTTTTATGGGGTAAATGTAACTTAAACCGCTAGCTGTCACAAAATGTCCTTCTAATGGTTGTATATGGGCAAAACTGTCTGCTTTAATCCACTTAGTTTTTCCTGCAGTGAATATAGCCTAAGATTTATCTCCTCTCCATTAATCTCAAAAGATGGCTCTGGCTTAGAACCAAGAAATACCGGAGAAAGCAAGTCACAACCATGGCATCATAAAGTCTTTGAAGTACCACAATATTTGAAATAAAAACAAACAAACCAAAAAGAAAATTGCTTGTGAAGGGGTGTTTCAGCAGGATAAACATCCAAGATATTATGACCAAATCCACACAGAAATCCTTTGCAGACAAAATAACGTTTCCAGATCATCTTATCCCTCTAAAAGGATCCTAAAAAAAGATGATGCATTAAAGAGGACCAAGTAATTAGGATTATCGAGATAGATTGTGCCAAAAAAGGTCAAAGGTTCCTTCCTCTGTATGCACACAGCCTTTGTGAAATTTTACAGAAGTGTATAGCTGAGCAAATTGAGATGTGTCAATGTTACACACACTGGAATATATTAAACTAATAAGTAATTCTGCTAAGAAATTAATTCGGAGACTTAAAATTTGATTGAAAAAGACCAGGATATCCAAACCTAAGCGTCAGATAAATCTCAATTGGAGTAAAGTACAAATGCAAAATATTCATGGATGTATGTACTCATAGAGTGTGGTCAGCCTGTCCAGGAAGCAAGATGCTTATCCTTCATAAAAAAGTGGAAGAGGAAAGTAACACCCAAAACAAATCCTGATCAACAATTAAAGAGCCGTAGAGGAGGAAGCCCAAGTAAACAAGGGAACGAGGTGACTTAAGTAGATAGTTGATGTTAGTGCCACTCACCGACCATGTGCTTCCTGACGTGAGCCATGGTGTAAAACTTCTTCTCGCAGATCTCACAGGAGAACTTCTTCTCAGCGTAGCCGTGGACAATCTTGTTGTGCTCGTGGAGAGACCACAGCTTCTTGAAGGCCTTTCCGCAGGTCACACACTTTCAAACAACACCACGAAAGAGGTAAGATGTTATGACGACTGGGGTTTTTAGAGGACAATATGTTTAAGGCATCAATAACTGAAGCTTTTCATATACAAGAAGAGTTTTACTTAAAGCAGCTGTTGTCTCAAAAAGAGTAAAGCAGTAATAATTTCAAACCAACAACATGATTTGCATTCTTTAAAGGAACAGTGGAAGATTTTCATTAATTTTTTAAAAGACCTCTCCACTTTAAAAAAAATAATGCACATGCACAACCCTGTACCCGCTCCCAAGAGGGAACACCTATTAAGCGCATGCAAGAGCCTGCACAAGCCCGTTTCTCTGTTTGAAAGTTGCTGTTTGCATCACTCAAAAGCTTCCTTTCTAGAAGAAGATTGCAATATTTCCACCATGTCAGACTCACCACCGGTAAGTGAAAATGGGGACGAGCACGTAGGACGGCCTTACGTAAACATATCACCAGAATGATTCGCCAATAGAAGGGCCGCTTATTTTGATGATCAGCCCGAAAAAAGAACATCCTCGACTATACCTTTAAGCAGTGCATAATTGTGAAGTCTCTAAAATGAACCTCTAAAAATAAACCTCTAAAAACATATGATGCAATTTACATAAAGCTCCCTCTAAAATCATCTGATGGTAAAAGCAAGAGGCTCTGTGGAGGCCACATAGATATATAATAGAACATCAGTGGAGAAAAGACACCGTGTGGACTAAGGAGACCTTGAGACAGCTTAGGGAAATAGTTATGGAGAAGTTTAAAGGAGGGTTAGGTTTAAAAACAAGAGCTGATAGCTTCAAACAAACATCATCCAGACTAATTTCATGGCTCACTCTTAATACTATTTCTGATAAAGTAAAGGAGAAGAAACTGTATTTTTTGTACAATTTTTCTGCTGAACTTTGATTAAATATTTGTAAAAGTTAAATTCCTGTTTGAGAGTTGTCTACTGCTCCAAGCAGTAGAACGGGATAGTTAATATGATAGATGAATGGAGCTTAATAAAACGCAAACCCTAAAGAAAACCGATTTGGCCCAAAGTTCTTTTTTTAGTAATATATTAGCCCTACATACAGCAAGAATGGTTCTATGCATGGCATGTTTTACATAAACACATACTGTGTTAAAATTGACTGGTCAAACTTCTGACTAAAAGCCAAGTGAGATTCAGTCAGACGGCTCGAAAATTCATTCATACACATCTCTCGATTTAATGGGACAGTGCATTTTGCAAAAAGAACATGCAAAAAAAGTAACTTTATATGAGATCTTTGCATAAAAAGTTTTCCAACAAATTACCATATCCTGCTAGGGGAGTACTTGTTTTATGCTTTTTTTCCCCCAATTACTGTATATTTACAGTAACAGAATCAGGTGATCAGAGGTACAAATACTGTGCATGTGTGGATTGGGTAGACAAGAAAGTGATGTGGCCCAGTTAAGTTGGTAAAATAAGGAAGAAAAGTTCAAGATCCAGAGTCAAAAAATGAAAATAAATATTTGATTCGACTATACTGTACATTGTGAAGGTTGGTTTTCACTGATACCAACAACTAAGAGAGCAATGCTACTCTTAGTCTCTAAAGTCTATGGAGAAGCGACATTATGACTGACTGAAAAGATATGGGGTGCAGTTTTCTTTTGCAGCTGCTTAAACTCACAAACCACATCAGATTCAATTCAGGGCTCATTAATAATACACTTATTTGGTAAATAGCATTTTAATGAGTTTAACTGGCATTAAGTTCAATAATTAGGTATTGGCGTATGATGGAAATGTTCTTTTCCTTTGATGGCCAGGTAGGAAGCTCTGGAAAAGATTCACTATAACTTAGAGTAGCTTTAGATCCCTTTATTTAATCAATGGTGCTTGGCAAAGCTAGGCCGTCGTTTTTCCATGAGGCATTGCAAGACTCTATTAGGCAGTCGGGATCTATTAGGAAGCCATGCCAATATTTTACATTTAGCTTTGTGATGGGGAAAACACCTTTATGATGGACACTTGATGTATATAACCTTATTTTATCATGATCAAAGGGTTTATGGTCTTTTAGTAAAGGCATATAACATAAAAAAGTACCTTTAAACTGTCCTACCTGGATGCTTCTCTCACAGTCAGTCTGTTGGTGCAGCAGAAGCTCACTCTCCAGTAGGAAGCGCTTCCCACAGTTATTGCAGATCTGCATACGGTTGTGGGTGACGTTCATGTGTTTCTCCAGGTACCAGCGGTTGTTGAAGATGCGAGGGCATTTCTTACATGGGAAGTGTTGTTTTTCCTCCAGCCTAACCTTCTGGCCAAGGCCCTCAGCATCTAGTCCCTTCTTCCCGCCCTGTCGTTGATTAGCCACAGTGGCCTCTGTAAGAGTCTGACGCATGGTGGTGGCGCCTGCCACAGTCAAGGCTCTGGTGGCCCGGCGAGGTCGATCCATTACAGCGGGCTGCTCAAGTCCAGGAATGTTTAGGGTGTTTTCCTCCTCCTCTTCATCCTCTTCATCCTCCTCGTCACTAGTACAACCCAGCATGCCTCTCTTCTTTAGGTCTTCATCACCGTCCTCTCCATGTCCTTCACCGTTCTCCATTCCATTGTCTTCATGGCCATCAAAGTCTCTCTCATTTTCATGACAACAACCAAACATAGGTTCTGTGCTTGTGGAAGATTTTCCATCTGATCCCTTTGAGACATTCAGAGTCTGGTTGTTGAGGTTAACTTCAACGATGATCTGATCTCTGTTGAAGGAAGCGTGACTATCCGCTGGAATTGATCCATCCACATTGTCCTCTGCTTTGCACGTAGTTGTCACACCTGTGCTGGCCCCCCCTACTCCTTCTTCTTTCTGATAGTACTGCTTTGTCTGGGCAGCCATCTTTCCAACCTCCTCCACTCTGACAGAGAATGTGCTGCTGCATTCTCTCGTGTAGACCCTGCCAAGCTCAGATTCCTGTTTGATCTCCCGATAGAGCTGGCAGGGAGGCATCTCTGCTTGCTCACAGCTGCTAAACCCCCCCTGATTGGCCATCTCTTTACAGGTGGCTCTCAGCGAATGAGTACTAAGGAGGTCTCGACAGGATGCAGCGATGTCGCTCATCTGAAGCACAGTGGCAGCGTTGAGCACGTCACAGACGGTGCTGCTGCTCACCAGCAGCTTGGAGGTGTAAATGAAGTTGAGGATCTGCTGAAGGCCCTGAGAGGTCAGAGCATCCAGCAACAGATCCACACGTCGAAGCTGTTTGCTTTGGGCAAAAAGAGAGTGGAAGAAGGGACTGTAGGCTGCCAGCACTCCCTTGTGAGCAGGAAAGGTGCTGTGATGGCGCACCAAGACGATGTCCACGTCACAGAGGTCAGGCTGGAAGAGGCGCTGCTCATTTAGCCTGTCCATCAAACAGGTGAAGTGCAGAGCCACATCCTCCACCAGAGAGAACTCAGCAGAGGGGAAGTCTGTGGTCTTCTCCACTATGAGCTGAAACAAAACATAATGAAGATTGAGATTTATTAACATTAACTCTGGAATCCAATATCTGTTCCTGGAGGTCAGAATTTTGTATAATTAAGATGTTTAACCTTTACAGCTGATTTAAATAAAAGATTCAGCAAGAAGTGCAAGAAGTTGTTTCTGCAGGGTCGTCTCTAGGTACTCCTGCTTCTTCCCAAAGACAAGGTATGCAAATCATGGCTGCTGGGTTAAATTAATCTGTCTGTTTGCCTTAGCAGTGAGTCAGTGTACATGGCTATTCGTCCAGAGTGTCTCTAAGATGTGGACTCCAGAGTCTATTCCAATACTAATGACCCAAAGAGAAAGACGCCAGTTACCATGGATGGAGAGAAAGATGGATTGATGACATACATAATTTCTGGAATCATAACCCTCACACGTTTGAGCAGCACCCAACCATTGATGCTTCTAAAAATACAAAAAAAAAAAAAAAAACAGAATTACTTTAGACTTACTTTTCTCCAGTATGTTGTTAGTGTTGAGACTTTACACAGCATAAATATTCTTTTTATATAGAAATTGTGAGCAGCTGACAAATGGATGCTCCCCCAATAAACACACTATTCCTACTGTAAAATCAGCTCTATAACTACCTCCTATGGCAGCTTCACCCCCCCTTCCCGGTTCCATACTTTTACCTTTTAGAAAGTGGCTGGTAAATTTGTCCCTGCATCCTAACATGAAAGGTTTTAACTTGAAGTTTCACTAACACATATTTCCCTCTTCTACATCTTTAACTTCATTAATAAGGATCTTTCTTAAAATAAAACACCTGCTTTATAGATTCTATTCCCCATTAAATGTGTTTCTCTGAATTTTTTTCTGCTCACAGTGTCCTTTAAGTGGCGATTTGAAACGTGAAGTTTGTCTCATAACGCTCATTTTAAAACCTTATATGTTATAAACTTGTCTCCTCCAAAGTTTTTCTTTAATTGTCTATTTTTTACAATTGTTTTTTTTTCTGTCAATTTGATCACAGAATTATAAACCTGAGGCATTAAATGATGTGCAAAGCAATATTGGTGACAAACCATATACTGTACATAAAATGAAATAAACAAGAAAGACAACATTTAGGTGGAAAAATAGGCATTTGTGTGTTCCCAAAATTAAAGCCTAATCAATAAGGAACCCTAAAATAAAAGCTCATACCATTTTCTGTGCATGCTTCAAAGTGTTGGGCTGCATGCAGAGTGTGACCCTAGTCAGTAAAAAATCAGAAGGTGTAACAATCATCACTCTGTGCAAGGTCCTCGACATCCCAAGGTGGGTTTATTTTAGCACAGGAAGGGCAGGGTTTCGATGCAGACGGGATGTGACTGAGGACAGAGCAGCAAACAGTGTAGGCGGACACAGACCCCTACATGCACACACACACACACACAAACCGGTTGTCCAATCTCTACCAAAAACCCATACACACCAGACAGAAACACAGTGTCTGGTCTCTCTGCAAAGACTGACCGGCTTGTGCTTTGGTATTTAGTGCCATTTCCCCTCTTATTGGCTGGCTGCTGCAGCGGCACACTCTCCCTAAGGTATGACGAATTATGCACAAGACAAAACATGTCAGGAAAAAACAAAACAGGGAAACCTTGCTGATTAAATAACAAATAACCCTCCAAAAAAGATAGATGCTAAAGTCCAGGGGCAATTTGAAAGCCCTGATTAAAACATAATTTTTTTAGTAGCTGCTGTAAACGATTCAGCAGGAAGAAGTAATTACTTTTCCCATGATACCGTGGGTTTAAAAGAACAACTGACGGCTTCTATGCAGCATATAAGAGTCTACATGGGGGTGAAAAGCTTTATTTCTGTTCTTTCTTGGCATCATTTTCATCACATTTTTTCCTCTATTTTTAGAGGTTGGGAAAAGATTAGCATTCTCTCTTTCTAACCTTGAGAATATGCTCTGTTTGACAAATTCACTTATAATGTTTTAGATTTATTCATAGTTTTGAGCTGCAGAATTGGAGAGGAACATGCACTGGGACACCTTGTGCTCTCAGCACAAGGTGTCAGACGGCAGCTGAGGGTAAAATGCTGCAGCTTCAACCCTAACCAGTGCAAGTTGTGAGCTGAAAGGTAATAATATGTTCCATCTTTTGAGATGTTATCTAAAGCAACGATCCAAATTCTTAGATTTCTGTTTAATATATTAAAACATATTAAACAGAAATCTAAAAATCAACTGATTCAATTTACTTAACCTGAAATCTTTTGAATCTAAAAGAATTATGATTTTTTTTTCATCCCAATACATTCCTCCTAATAATCTATCAGAGATAAAACCAACCGAGGTGGACAGTAAATTCAGAAAGAAAGGTAACTATTATTATATGAATGTTCTCAAATGCTGCAGCAGTTACCATAATAACGTAATATTATTCATTGCTATCAGGCGTTCTGTCTGCACTAATCAAGTTTCTTAAACCCCAGAATACAAAATGCTGGACATAGCTGACATGAGAGAAGAGTTTGCCCCATTTCAGATTGAGTCTAATTAGTGGCCACTTAAAGCTGCCTGCAGAGAATCAGCTTTCATCCCCAGATGCTCAGAAGCACATAATTTACGTACTCTTCTTTCCAAGATATTATAAACAACTCACACAAATAGGATTTATTATTTTCCCATTTGAACTCATGTAAAATGTACCATGTGAGGTCATCAAACATAAAAAAATAATAAAGCTGTGACAAAATCTATATAGAGATATTGAATCTGAAAACAAACAACAAACTATTGGAAAATCTAAATTTAAAATCCATTAATTTTATAGTATTGGTGTTCGAACTAGGGCTGAAACCACTACATCGGATTAATCGATTATTGAAGTAATCGTCAACTAATTTGGTAATTGATTAAACGTTAACTGGAGCATAGAGACTCTAAAACAAAAATACATGCAAATTTTGCATTTAAGATGAAAAAAACATATTTGCCCATCAATATGCTCTATCCAAAGTGGAAAAGTTTGAGCTTCACCCGGTTTAAATCCATAAAGGATTCTCTTTAAGGAACCTTTGGCCATCTGATTATTAATCAAATAATTAAAAAAATAATCAACAGATTAATCAGTTTGCAAAATAATGGTTAGTTGCAGACCTAGATCCAGGTAAATCTTTACTAACAGCACATTTATAACACTCTACTTTAACAGCAGTGAGACGCTACAGAGAGGACTGTCACTTTTTTGCTGTATTACTTCCGTTTCTTTTTGTAGATTTAAGCTTAAATTTACATCTCAAAGCCACCAATAAATAACTGCATTGCTTTGGTTTACAACAAATATATTCCGATAAAGAGGATCTGAAAAATAATCATCAGGTTCGTGAACAAAACATGGATTTTGGTAAATCTATAATTAACTTAGAACACACAGACAGATGCTTTGTAAGAGTTTTATGCAGTGAGAAACAACAATTGCGTCTCTTTATACTGCAACCATAATCCAACTCCCATGATCTCCTTCTGACCTTCCCCTTTTTCTCACTTCTTTTCCTTCCCGCTAAAATGTCAGGGAGAGAGCTTGTTTGCTATCATTAGAGCAGTGCCACCTTTAATCAGCCTCTCAGTCAGATGTCTCCCTATACATTATTCATACGACACCGGACCTGCGACAAACACATAGTGGCGAAGATTACCGACACAACCCGACACGGAGTGTCAATTAAACTGCCTTCAATCAAAGCAACACTCTCAGTTTAAAAGACAGATTATTTTATCGCTCGTCCAAGGCAGCAATGTAGTCGGTATTTTAGGGGCCTGTTTTTACAAAGCAGCTCTTAAGGCTGACGTAGAAAAGTCCCATGAAAACATTTTTTTATTTGATGCAGAACATTTTAATCCTCTAGATGTGATTTAGAAACAGGGAGGTTGTTGTGGAAACAAGGGTTTGACTTGCTTTCCTCAGCATCCTGATGCTCATGCTGTTAAGACTGGACTAATATGTACAGACATGTTTTTATTTGTTTTCTTGCCGTTGTTTGGTTTTTTTCAGCCCCTATTTATTGCAAGATGTCCGTAAACTCCCCATCCTTGCTCTGCAGCGGGAGGAGAGCAGATAAACCTGGAAATCCTATAAAGACTGCGAGTGATGATTAAGTTTATGTCAGAAAAGCTTTTAAATCACATGGTCCACAGAACCATGCACTTCAGTCCATTTTCTGGGAAATCTGAGCTCTAATCATCACATGAAACCACACTTAACTGAATATTTTTGCCAGTTGCAAACTGTAGGATTTGCTGACTTAAAAAACAATGCATTTCCTTGCAATTTATAATTAAAAATGTAGAAAGTTGTAGCTACTTAGTCTGGTCTCCATTAATATTTATTCACTGCCAAAGATTAAATACATTAAGGATGTTAAATTTTGGCATACCTAAATAAAATTGGTAGGGTGCATTTAAAAAAAAAGGATCTACGCCATCAGATCCATTATAATCAATAACTGTTTAATGAAAATGTTGTTATACAGCTATTATACCCCACAAAAAACCAAAGGACAACAAACAGATGTCATGGAGGGGCAGCACAGTGTCAGAAATGTTAGAGCTAAGCTATGACAATATCAGAAACAAAAATCTAAAGTTCTTGATGCTGTTTTTTCATAATGCTCTCAGCATGTGTGAGATTTAGCCTTTCAAACACTAAAACTGTTCAGTAAATCCATACAAATCAGTTAATGCTGACATCCTAATATACGGCAGGAAAAATATTTCACCCAAATTTTAAAATTATGTGATTTCTTTACATAAATTCCCATAAAGTTTTTTTGTAAATAATTTTTACACAAACTTATTAAATAAACCTCAAATGATGCATATCCATTAGTTTAATATAGCCTATTTAAAACATAATTGCCAGGTTTAATTGTTTAGAATGTATTAAGTATAAATACTTAAAATTAATACAGAGTGTATTCATTCATCACATTTATTCAAACAACAATCTTTATGGATTTGA